GATTCTGAGGTGACATCCTGGCTGGGCACTGGGAGAAGCAAAGCGGCGTCACTGAAGCGTAGGAAACTGCCAGGAGGGACATGATGAGGCATTTTGAGATGTAAAGCAAGCGAACTTGATGCAAACACAATTATCCTTCTCTGACAAGCCATTGTCACAGCCACAGTTGTAGGTGACTGCATGTGAGAGGTCGTGGTGTCGATGCAAAGAGGCTCTGATGCAAGGAAACCAAAATTAATCAGCTTGCAATGTCCTTGTACCAATGAAACAGAGATTTTGGATGAGGCGCAGGCCAGGGCAGCATTGAGGGAAAGGGCTCGGGCTGTGAGATGAGTTTTGTCCTCGTAAATGGGTGAAAAACACCTTGTTTCTGAAATAATTTTATATTTTTTGATGTTCTGTCAAGCAGGCACCGTGCTTTGTACCGGGGCGGCTGGCGCGGTGACACTTTCTAAAGGGCTCATCAGAAGCGACGTCGTGCTAAGAATTTGGGTTGGTTTTATACAAACCAGGAGAGTTTTCAGGCTGGGATTGCCAGCAGCAGCAGAGCAGAGCTGGGGGAGCTTGGGCTGGAAAGAAAGAGGTGCCAGGTGTTCCCTGAGGGATGATGAAGGAGATGAAGCTTGGCAGAGCGATCGCTGGTGGAAAACCACGCGCTCCACCTCACATCGGGGCCAGCAGAGGAGTTCAGCGAGCAGAGCCCGGACTGGGCAAGCGCTGGTGCTTCCAGCAGTTGCTGAGATTTGTCCCCAGCTTCCTCTCAGAGAGAAATTTGGAGCTTTTAGGACAAATTTCATCAGACCTGATTTGAACTCTCTTGTTTCCCCCTCAAAGCTGCGCAGCTCTTACTGTAGAGAGCGAGAGCGTTGCCTGGTGGCTGGTGTGACTGCAACTCAATATTCTCTCATGTTGTCTCTCACCAGAGCTCTTCCTTTGTCTTTCTTCTGCTTGCCCAGGTGTCTCAGGTGTGGAACAACGCCTTGGTGAACCTCCTGAAGAGCCTCTACTCACTGGGGGTGGACAGCAGCAGGAGGGAGATGCAGTCGGTGGAGCAGGAGGTGCTGTGGCGGCTGCGGCGTCTCACCTTCAGGCAGCTCGCATCCCTGGCCGAGTTTTTGGCTGTCAGGCAGGGGAAGGACAGCAAACTCCTGAGCGAAGTCATCAAGAAGCTGGAGCTGCGTTGGACAGAGCTCGAGGGCACCCGAACCGTGGTGACACTGATGGGGAAGGTCGGGCACATGTCCCCAGCACTGATGGACCGGCTGGAGGACAAGGTAGGGGTTTCACAGGGTCACAAACTGGTCAAGGTGGGAAGGGACCTCTGAGAATCACCCAGAGGAGGGTCACCCAGAGGAGATCACCCAGGAACATGGCCAGGGGTTTGGGTGTCTCCAGAGAAGGAGACTCCACAGCCTCTCCACAGCCTGGGCCATGCTCTGCACCCTCCCATCAAGAAGTTTTTCCTCTGCTGAGGTTGAACCTCCCCTGTTCCCATTTGTGACCATTGCCCCTTGTCCTGGTGCTGGGCACAACCCAGCAGAGTCTGGTCCCATCCTGAGACCCCTTGAGATATTGATGGGAATCAATGAGATCCCTTGAGATATTGATGAGCATCAATGAGACCCCTTGAGATATTGATGAGCATCAATGAGACCCCTTGAGATATTGATGAGCATCAATGAGATCCCTTGAGATATTGATGAGATCAATGAGATCCTTGAGATATTGATGAGCATCAATGAGATCCTTGAGATATTGATGAGCATCAATGAGACCCTTGAGATATTGATGAGATCAATGAGATCCTTGAGATATTGATGAGATCAATGAGACCCTTGAGATATTGATGAGCATCAATGAGCCCACTCAGTCTCCTCTTCTCCTCCCTCCTGTCTCCGTTGCCTTCAGGTGCCACCTCCCCCTGGCGACAACCCTGCCCCCTTCAACCCACCCTGGATGGGTACACTGGTCCCACACCAGCTGCACTCATTGCTGCTCCAGAGTGCTTTGGTATTGCTCTTTAAGCAGTTTCCCATGCATGGGTGCTTCTAAGAGAGAGGTTTCCATCTGAGGAGCCACGTAAATAACAGAGCTTGCACTCCCCAGCCCCTTCCCAATCCATCCTGGTGCCAGTGGGTGACTCACACTGGTCTGCACTGCCAGAAGAGAGGCTGAGTTGATGATTTTACTTTGCACCCAGTGTCCTCAGAAGAGACAGATCTGTCCCCTCCGGTGCTCAGTGGCTGGAAATGAGCAGGGAAATGTCCTTGGGGTCGAAACCACTGCAGGAGCCCCAATTGCAGCTGAGTCAAATTCGGTCCCCATCCAGCCCGTGCTGGGGACCGGCCAAACAGCTGCCACAGCAACATCTGCAGCTCCTGAGCCCCACTGTCCCTTGACCCTGGGGCTGAATAAATGCTGCAGACACCGGTGTGCACCAGGCCAGGACGCTGTAGCCACGTCTGACGGGGTTGTTGGTTTACGCAGAGCCCAAACTAACGATGCTGCGTTAGCATCCTGCAAATGAGATGGAAATCAGGGTGGAAAGCTCCGTGCTGAGCCACCAGCGGTGCCTTTCCCTCTCAGATCCAACCTCACCCTCCCCTGGCACAACTTGAGGCCATTTCCTCTGCTCCCATCGCTTGTTCCGGGCGAGCAGAGCCCGACCCCCCCTCGCTACCCCCTCCTTTCAGGAGCCAAAGAGGGGATAAGGGCTCCCCTCACCTCCTCTGCTCCACTTGAACCCCCCCAGCTCCCCCATTGCTCCCCAGCATTCGCCTGCGCCACACCCCTCCCCAGCGCCCTTCCCCTTCTCTGCCCACGCTCCAGCCCCTCCATGTCCTTCTGGGTGTGAGGAGCCCAAAACTGACCCCAGGGCTCGCTCCCTACCGCTGGTCCTCACTGAGTGCTCGACACCCTCAGAGGAGCTCAGCCAGCAGCACTGGCGCATCCCACTCCAAATAAATCCCCTCTTTGCCTCGCTTTGTGCTTTCCCTTTACATCTCAGCCCAAAATGTTTCTTGACAGGCTCTGGAGCTTGCAGAGCAGTTCAGTCCCGACGACATCCGGAAGATAACGCTGGCTTTAGCCTACCAGAAGCGACGCTCCGTGCCTCTGCTCCGAGCCTTGTCCTACCACCTGATCCAGAAGCACTCAGAGCTCAGCCTCAACGTCCTCATGGACCTGATTTTCGCCTATGGTAAGCGGCTCGGTTGGGTTGGGACCTGCTGGGCTTCACACGGGGTAGAACCCTGCAGCGTAGGGAGCCAGGATCCCCAAAACGACCCCAAATCCTCTCTCACCTCCTCCTGTCACTGTGGATTTGTTGAGGAGCCACCCTCTCTGTTTCCTCACTTACAAAACGCAGCCCCCAGCCACAGAGGGGCTAAGCAGGAGCTATGGGGAGAGCCAGGCTGTTTACCAGGGGACAGTGACACTGAAATAGCTGATTTCCCCCCCCAAAATGTCCCAGTGACAACTTAATGCTCATTTGAGAAGCGCTGGGTGCTCAGTTTGTCATCTTCAGTGGCTGAGGAGCACCAGCAGACACTGGGGATGGTGACAGCCACCTTGGTGATGTTGCTGGCCACGGGGTAGACCAGAGCCACCAGATCCGTGACGTGGTGCCAGAACCTGGTTCTAGAGCGTGTTCAGAGAAGAGCCACAAGGATGGGGAGGGCTCCGGAGAACAAGCCTGATGAGGAGCGGCTGAGGGAACTGGGCTTGTTTAGCCTGGAGAAGAGAAGGCTGAGGGGAGACCTCATCCCCACCTCCAACTGCCTCAAGGGAGGTTGTGGAGAGGTGGGTGCTGGGCTCTTCTCCCAGGTGATGGGGGATAGAACAAGGGGAAACGGCACCAAGCTGTGCCAAGGGAGGTTCAGGTTAGAGATAAGGAGGAAGTTCTTTCCTGAGAGGGTCGTCAGAAGCTGGCACAGGCTGCCCAGGGAGGTGGTGGAGTCCCCATCCCTGGATGTGTTTAAGGAGCGGGTAGACGAGGTACTTAGGGATATGGTTTAGGGGGTAGACAGGAACGGTTGGACATGGTGATCTCAGAGGGCTTTTCCAACCGAGCAATTCTGTGTGTAATTCTGTGTGTGAAAACAGCCCTGAGAACAGCAGGGTGGCACTAATCAAGAATGTGGTTTATGATCCTGAGTGGTTTTGCTCTCCACACAGCAATGTGTGGTCCCATCCCCCTCTGACGGCTGGGAAAGCTCAAATGGATTGAGGAAGCCAAGAGAGGCAAGGAGGAGCTTTTCTTCCATTGCTTACCCACCTTCTGGTGGTGGGAACAGCTCTTCTGGAGCCAGGACAGTCCCCAGGGGTCAGCTGTCCTCCCAAAATAAAGAAATAACCCCAGCAGGCCTGGCCTTGGAGGATGGGGTTGGCAGTGCCACCCTCTGAGCCTCCTGTGCTCCTAATGAACGGCTTTGTCCCCTTGTGCCACCACCTCCCGTCCGGGCACGGCTCCCGTTCCAGCTCCTTGTAAGTGGCTGCCCCTTTCTCTTTGCCTCTTTAAGGAAGACTGAATTTCCACCAGCCCCAGGTCTTCCAGAAGATTGCCACCGACCTGCACCCCCACGTTTCGGCCATGACGCCCGTCGAGGCGACGCGCTGCGTCCGATCCTTCGCCATCCTCAAGTGGCTCGGCCTCCCGCTGTTCGAGGCCATCGCGCAGGTGAGGGAGGGGAACCGGTGGCACCAGTATGACTCCAGTTCTCAGGAAATGGGAGCTGTTTCTCTCCAGAGATGATCTGGGGGCTGTTGTCACTGTTTTCCCTACCCAGTGAGCGGCTGTAATCGAGTCTGACAGCGCTCGCCGGTCGTTTTCCACTAAAATCAGCACCAGGAATCCGGCTCGGGCGTCCCCAGGCGCCTTCCCAGCTCAGCCCCACTTTGTGTGTCTGCATTTTTGCGTCCATAGCAGAACGCTGCAGAGCTCTGCTTCCACTCACAGCTTCCCCTCGTGCCGAGCTAAAATCCCAGGGAAGCACTAAAAGATCTTTCATTCACATTTTCCCATCTTGCCGTGGTGCTTTATGCATCCTTGGCTGATGCTGTCGAATTTTTCCTGCCTGTACTCACGTAGGACAACCCTAAACCTCTGCTTTTGTTCCCTGTATCTTCCAGTACGCCCTGGACAACTCCAAGCAGCTGTCGGTCGCCCACCTCTGCGGCATCATCCTGTCTTTTGCTCGCCTGAACTTCCAGCCCAGCGGAAGCGAGGACTTTTTTAACATGGTAACCTTCCTCCTTTCCCCTTCTTTGTCATCCTTCCTTGCTCCCTCGTCACTGGGAAGGCTGCAGATCTCCTTCAAGCACATCCCCGTGTGAAATTGAGTGTTGAGGGGGCTCAAACAGGGTGGAAAATGGGAAAAGGAGGAGCCCAGAGCTCAGACCAGGCTGAAAAACCCACACTGCGCTCCCCTGGCCAGGCAATATCTGCACCAGTTACTCCACAACAGGCTCGAATCCCCACAGGCTCACTTTTCCAGCAGCATGTGGGTGTTTGTGTGCCCTCCTGAACTCCTGATTGCCGTAATTAACTCTTTATAACGAGGCCAGAGGTGTTGGCGGTTGCACGCCCAGTAGCTGAGCCAAGCCCTTGCTCTGGTGGCACCAGAGAAGGATAAAGGCAGATATTTTCACTTTATTCCTGCTTGGGGAGGGGGAAATTGCCACGTCTTGGGGTGAGATGTGACCTGTGTGGTTCAGCAAGGGGCTGGCAGGAGGTGAGTGTGGGGCAGACGCTGTCCTTGGCATCCTCCTGCCTTCCCTGGTGGCCTCTGGAGCTGAGGAAGGAGTCACCTTGACCTCCCTGGGGACAGGTTTATGATGATCATTTCCAGGGAGGAGCTGCATCATCGCAGAGGGAGCGTGGCCTGAGCAGCTGAGGAGGAAGAAGACCTAGATATGGGTGTTTCTAGTCAGGGGAGGACTCTGGACTCCCCCTGCCAGTGTTAATGGTGGTCACTGGGATTTTGGAGCAAACTTAAACCTCATCTTTTGAGGCATTGCAAAAACACTTCTCCAGGTTTAACAGGAGAAGCCCCTGTGGGGTGCAGAGCTCCAGGCTCCTCTGTGATTTCTGGAAGGACATCCTGACACCACCGAGGCACTGTGAGACCCCTCCAGCTCTGTTCACAGCAGGTTTTAATTTAATTTTAGTTGCAGATACTGAAGATGTCTCCTCCAGCCCTCCCTTATCTGAGTGCTGCCCTCATGGGCTGCTGCAGCCGAGTTTTCCTATGAGGAAAGACTGAGAGAGCTGGGGCTGCTCAGTGGAGAAGAGGAGACTGAGGGGGTCATTGATGAGCATCAGTATCTCAAGGGGGTCTCATTAATGCTCATCAATATCTCAAGGATCTCATTGATCTCATCAATATCTCAAGGATCTCATTGATCTCATCAATATCTCAAGGATCTCATTGATGCTCATCAATATCTCAAGGGGTCTCAGGACAGGACCAGACACTTCTGGGTTGTGCCCAGCACCAGGACAAGGGGCAATGATCCCAAATGGGAACAGGGGAGGTTCAACCTCAGCAGAGGAAAAACTTCTTGATGGGAGGGTGCAGAGCATGGCCCAGGCTGTGGAGAGGCTGTGGAGTCTCCTTCTCTGGAGGCACCCAAACCCCTGGCCATGTTCCTGGGTGATCTCCTCTGGGTGATACTGCTCTGGTTTCCCCTCTCTGCAGGTCCATGAGCAGCTCAAAGGCCACCTGGACAGCTTGGAGCCTCACCTCCTGACCGACCTGGTGTGGTCGCTCTGTGTGCTGCAGCAGGCCAAGGCTCCCTACCTGCAGCGAGTGCTGGCACCCAACTTCCACGCTGGCATCCGAGGTGAGGTGGGCGTCTCTGCCACAGGCACAGGGACTCAGGACCTCAGACCTAGGGCAGGGAGTGTGGGTCTGCTGGAGGGCAGGAAGGCTCTGCAGAGGGCCCTGGCCAGGCTGGATCCATGGGCAAGGCCAATGGGGTGAGGGTCAGCAAGGCCAAGGGCCGGGTCCTGCCCTGGGCTCACAGCAACCCCACGGACGCTGCAGGCGTGGGGAGCAGTGGCTGAGAGCTGCTGGGCAGAGGGGGCGGGGGGTGTTGGTGGCCAGTGGCTGAAGAGGAGGCAGCAGAGTGGCCAGGTGGCCAAGAAGGCCAAGGCCATCGTGGCTTGTCCAGCACTGGTGTGGGCAGCAGGAGCAGGGCAGGGCTTGTGCCCCTGTGCTGGGCACTGGTGAGGCCGCCCCTGGGATCCTGGGCTCAGTTTTGGGTGCCAAAAAGGCCATTTTGGGTGTGGAGCGTGGGCAGAGAAGGGCAAGGGAGCTGGGGAGGGGTGTGGAGCAGGCGAATGCGGGAGCGGAGGGGGTTGAAGTGGGGCAGGGGAGGTGAGGGGAGCCCTTATCCCCTCTTTGGCTCCTGAAAGGAGGGGGTAGCAAGGGGGGGTCGGGCTCTGCTCGCCAGGAACAAGCGATGGGAGCAGAGGAAATGGCCTCAGGATGTGTCAGGGGAGGGTGAGGTTGGATCTGGGGGAAAATTTCTCCCCTGAAAGGTTCATTTGGATCCCCATCGTGGGAGATCCCAATGAGGAGTCGCAATCAGACCGCGCTGTGGGCCAGGGCATTGATCTCTGTCTCCACCTGTGCTTCTCCCTCCAGGAGATGAATCCCCCAAGGCCCAAAATTTACGGCTGAAGCTGATGCAGATCAACGCCGCTGCCAAGCTGGAGAGCCCGGACTACGCGGGGCCGTT